ATTTCAGCCTCCTAGACTCCGTGGTTCCCGAGATATTAATTTACCCGTAAAAAACTTTCACGAAGCTTACGTGTTACCCGCGAGTACGAGGAAGCTGAATTTAAATGTGCGGGATCACACGTGGGTGGGGGACGTTCCCCTAAATTTTCAGCTTCCTAGCTTTTGTGGTCCCGAGTTGAAAGTTGCGGACAAGGTGCTGCGGACACACACACACACAAACACGCACAGACAGCTTCGTGACAATATGCGTTTTGTACTCCTGTTACACAGCCCAAAACGCATAATAACGGGTTCAAAATATTTTTCCAATCAAACAGGCATGGCGCAGTGGTAATTAGCGCCTCACTTGTTCTGAAGCTGAGAGTTCGACTTCAGCCTTTGCTTGAGTTGATTATCCGTTTCGATGGTGAATTGTTGCTCCCAGGATGCCAGCAATTTTTTTATTTCTACGTACCCCAAAAACGAATGTGGTGCTGCGCTATGGCCGTCCGTAGTAAGAGATTTAGAAAGTAAATAATTTTAAAAAACATAACTGAAGCAGAAATTAGGCTGTTTTAACGAAAAAATTATTGTGAGAATTCGCATTTCCATCGTCAAAGTTACCATTTTTAGGTTGCAATGGATGATTTGAAAATGAATGATGCACTGAGATTTGTTCAGTCATTTGCATTAACTTCATACAGCTGCACGAAACTTCTGGCAATTCTTGATGCTGATGAAACACCTCTGGAAGGCGAATTTCTTCAGGAAGCCAAAAAGGCGGCAGTGTTTGTTAAGGGTTACAGATTACGAGGCGCAAAAGGTGGTGAAAAGGTATTTCTCCACGTCGTTAATGAGGTCGTAAAAAACTACGAAAACAGCAGCTTTCCAGACAACTCCTTGTATGTTAATTAATTTGCCGGGCATAAACTGGGCATTGGCCCTGTCTATGGTTTAGCTACTTTCAGGCATGCGCTTGCTAAATGTTAATAATGACTATATTTTTGACCAAAACAGCCTTTGTTGCAGGTGCCCGCAGTACTGTTAACAAATATTAAGGAATTGTGTGCTTTAATCAAATGCGACAGCTAATATAGGGAGCAAGAGATTAAAATATTCCCGATCTGTTCTGAAAATAAATAGCAACGCGCACCAGACTAGCCGATGCGATCGTGCGTTTTGTGCAATTCAGCCCAC